GGGGGTGTCACAGAAGACACTTCTTGAAGCTTGGTTCCCAGTGGTTAAGCATCAATGGTTTGTTAGATAAGAACCAAGGACCTTCAGAAAGGACTTGGTTACATTAGTCAAGTGAAGAGAAGTGGAATTCAAAGATCCTTTTCTCAGTGCTCGTGACTTTGAGAAGACTTTTTTCCTTCCATAATGCAGTAGCAATATCTTTAACCATACCAAAGGGGAGGCTTTTGTAGACAAAATAATCAAGGAGACTAGTCTATAAAAGGGATAGTCCAGCAGATTCAATATATGGTGGTGGGGAGATGATGTCCTTGGAAGGCTTTAGATCGTGGATAAAATGCAAAGGAGCTCAAGGTTGGGGTGGTTTAGTGACAATAGATGCCCAAGTGGAGCTGTCTTTGTTTGGTCTAGAGTGTGGTAGAACTGGTTAGGGTAAGGCCTGGGTGTCTTGGTTAGAAACTGGTATGGAGGGAGGTGAGGGAGTGTCAAGTTGAGAACTGCTTTGGTTGGATTCTGTGGTCTGTGGTTGAGGATTGGAATGGGAGAGAGTTGGTTTAGTTGGAATAAGGGAATTATGGTTGGGTTGTGTACAATGTGTTTGGGATTGGACTATGGTTGGAATTGTACTGTGGTTAGTGTCCGGTGGTAGGTTAGGGTCAGAAGGTAAAGGTGTATTGTTTGGTCCCATGGTCAAAGCTTGGCACTGTAGTATAGGGGGAAGGTTATGGGTGACCATAGTGTCTACGCAGCTGCCTGAAGTAGGGATGATGTGATGTGGGTTTGCTGAAAGTTGGTGTGGTTGTTTGCCCGAAGTGTTCAAGCATACATTTGAGTTTGAATTTGAATTAGCATATTGGATTGCATAAGTCTTAAGATGGTTTTGATGGTGGTTCTGGTGTGGAATGGTGGTGGTGCAAGTGTCTGTGCATGGCGACTCCGAGGGGTTAAGATCAATTGAGTGGAGATGATTTGTAGCAATTATTTGATCACTGAGATCATTGACCCTAGCTCTCAACCTGGCTTGTTTCTGCAAACCAACACCAATGATTTCCCGAAGCCATTCAACCTCCTCAAGTAGATGTTTGTACTTGTAGTTGCTTTTGAATTCCATAAGTTCCACACGAAGCCCGAAGATCTCATCAATCAGTGACTGGGTATTGTGTGGATCAATGTCATCCATAATGTGGTTATGGTTGTCTGTAAACTTTGGTTGTTTGTCTTTTGTGGTGGTAGAAGGATTATGGAGGGTTTTGTTATGAGTTTTGGTTGGATGAACTGGTTGAGTTTTGGATGGGTTAACAGGTTGCGGTTCGCAGATTGTGTTGAAGGAGAAGGATACCTGTTTAGGAATTTTGGTTGGGGCAGCTGGTGGGTGTTGAGATTGTGAAGGACTGTAAAGTTGGTCTGCATTATGTGGACGAGCTTTTTTAAGAATTGAGACTGGAGGAACATGACTTTGGACTTGGTTGATGGTGAGTGGCAAGAATGGAGGTTTAAGGTGGTTAGGCTGTGGATTCCGGTGAGAAAGTCTACTGGTTTTTGGGGCTCTCATGAGAAGGTGTCATTTATGATTGATGTAAGTAGCAAATGATACCTCTAAAATCTTAGCTTTGCTGGAATATGTTGTGGGAGTTGAATGTTACTTCCTGGGTGGAACTGGATGATGCTTGTGCTCCCTTGTTTGGACATTTAGTTTCTCATATATATTTTAGACAAAAATGTCCTTATATCTATTTTAATATACCATCACATATATGTCTACTTTATTATCACTCTTAACCGTATATCTTCCACCATTGCAACAACACGTACTCTTCCATCATTATTATATTATATATAATTTGTCTCATAATATAATGGTATATATAATATGTACCATTAAATATTATTTATACTATATTTTCATTTCCATCTAACCTTCAGACCAATATAAATCTAGGTTTTTTTTTTTTGAAATTTATCTGCTATATATATATATATATATTTTTATATATATATATTTGAGAATTATATTGTGCATTCATTTATTGGTTTTTATTGATTTTCATTTTATATAGATTTATTAAAAGGACACTACGAGAAATAATGCCTAATTTTTTTCCTTTTTTATATTAATATTTATGCCTACATGTTTTCTTCTTCTTCTTCTTTTTATTTTTTTATTTTTTATATTTCAATATCATTTTTTTCTATAAAAAAATAAAAAATTCCTTCCATATGACTAATGTGAACTTGTCAGTTTAGTAAAATGTTAAAACAAAAAAAAACAATTGAAGTGTTAATTTCTGTGAACGATGTGGTTTAGGTTATTTAATAAATAAAAAAACAAGAAGCAACATAGATTTTCAAATAAGCTTTGATGGGAATTTAAGTCAATTTATATTTCAGTTCTTTTTCAACTAACTTTTGTTAGTTAAATCACTCCCCTTGAATAGTTGAGGGGGGTTTATTGACAATAAAGAAAAGAAAATAAAATGAGAGTTTAGTAAAAAATACAGATAGAAAAAGAGAATTTAATGTAGTTCACCCTTAATTTAATAATATTTGCTTATGCATTGGTAGGAATATCCTTTTTATTGTTGTTGCGATACAATGATAATAATTGAATAATACATATTTATTTTATATTTAAAATAAATAAAAATAAAAATTTTGATCGAGTCAGTTAGTCATTCAGCTTAATCATTTCACATGTAATATCATATTATAGACTTTAATTCCTCAGTCGTCTCATAGGCGGCAAGTACATTTCTCTTAATTATTTTTTTTTAGTCATTTCTTTGTTGTTTTATTATCAAAATAAAAAAATTTGGAATGGGCATCGTTTTCTCTTCTTCTGCAAGTTGAGAATGATCAAAGGCATAATAGCTAGAATCTATCAATATAAAGACAATCATTGATAGCACATTCATATGGTTTTCTAATTACATAAACAAGGCTTAATTAGTCTTAATTAGTCAATGATTTTAGTTAATTATTGAAGGAAGTTACATGTCACTTCTCTCAATTGGTCCTAGCATTTATGAAAAAAGGAATCATATCAGTGCTAGTATTTTTATTTTCTAGTAAACCCATAGAGCTCGCCACAATACGGTGTTTGGTCAAAGGTAATTCATCATGAAAATGGCTCCTATAATATAAGGATTTGTTTGACCTTTTCTATAATGGTATAATTCATGGAAATTTGTTAAAATAAAATCTATTTCTAGTCCAAACTTTAATTACAATATGAAAAGTATAATGCTATATTTTATTACATGAAATTGGTGTTTTTAAATTGTAATAAAAATATATATATATATATTAAAATTTAAATTATTTTTTCGTTAATTTCAATTTCCAAGTATCAATTTCATAAGATTAATTTTATATATGTTATGTATTTAAGTAAATCAGCTAATATCATTATTCTATAAGCTAAATAGTTTTGCCATATTTACCGGGTAAAAAAAATAGTTTTGCCACTTTGTGTATTCCCATTGCCTGTCATCGAAATGCTTACAAATTTTACTAAATCGTGTTCCACATGGATCATCGATCGAAAGCTTCATATATGACAAACGAATTAATTAAGAATGAAATTAATACACAATAGTAAACAAATTGAGAAGTTACTTACCTAAAAAAAACAAAAACAAAAACAAACTGGGAAATTCAAGAGTAGCAATGTATGTTAGTCTTGAGATCTTTAGTTTTACGTAAATCAATTTTGCTTCGAATTGGCCAATTAACTAAATCCCAGTATTCCAAATACATTTTTAATTATCTCCAAATTCTTAAACACAATTTTTCGAAAAACATTTTTTTTTCTTAAACACAGTCAAATATATATATATATATATATATATATATATATATATATATATATATAATATCTCCTCTGGAAGGCATCCACTTAATTTGAATGGTTCAGTGCTTGCATTGGACATGAAACAGTCCAGCTTAGGTCTCCTCCTTGTTTTTGTCTATGGGACAACAAGTAGTCGTCGCTCTACCAAATCCAGCCCATTCTATATACAAACATTGTTGATAAGAATATATATAAATATATATATATATAGAATGATTAAATGCTTTGCTTGACTTTTAAATTGACGTGATCTTGAAGGGAGACTTGAAAGATTCTGAACACGTCCGCTACATATACAAAGAGATAAAATTTGAAGTGATCAAATCAAGCTCGAGTCCAACATCATCATCAGCACAAGGTGTAGTAATCATTTGTTTATGTTACAACTAGACACAAATAATGCATGCATTTGCACAATCAGTCTTTCATTCCGCTGAATGAATGAAAGATTCAACAAATGACACTCCACCTAAGATTTTCATAATGTTTTTAATTTGTTTTTTTTTTCTAATTCATCTATACATATATGTTTAATTAATCTTCAGTCTTCACAAGTCCCTGTCCTATTTAAGTAATTAATTAATTCCCTTGGAAAATATAGTTCGAATTCATGAAATGGACCTCTGTCCCACTCTTAAATGATCGATCATAATCATCAATCGTGCAGTGTATGACCGAGTACCCTTTTTTAGTTTCTTGACTAGAGCACTAATATCGTCCGTTGATCAACTTGATCATGAAATTATAGCCGTTCGATTTGTGATTAATAAATTATATATTATTGTTTGATTTATCATGCATGAGCTTCAAATACATGACAGTTGCATGAGCTGACCTTCCAAGACATTGTCTAAAAAAGTAGTTATAATACATGGCAATGACTGAAGCAAACCAGCTAAAAACCAAGAGGGTAAATTCACTAAAAGAGCCAAATGATCGAGAGTCGACCCTCACCTTTCCAAAATCACCAACCAGACTTTTTCAGCTCAGCCTTTTCTCTTCCTCATAGATTCTCTAGTAGCTTTCATGAATTAATTCAATTGTATATAGACACAGCCCTATATAGCTCCTCTTCCATATATCTATATCTATATCTATCTAGTTCTCTTCCATCTCTAATTAATTTCCTACTTGGGAGCAACATGTAATTAATATGGAGCAATACTCTCATTCTCAATACTTGATGTGGATAAGAAGCAAACATATTCTGAATTCACACTTGCAGGCGTCCATGAATTCGTTCACCAACTCGTGGGAAGAACAAGCTTTCGCAGAAGATGCAGCCGGTCCTCTTGGAGGGTTCATATGGCCTCCGAGGTCTTATTCTTGTAGCTTTTGTAAAAGAGAGTTCAGGTCTGCTCAAGCCCTAGGTGGTCACATGAATGTCCATAGGAGGGATAGGGCTACGCTCAAGCAATCCCTCACTCCATTTAGAAACCCTAACCAGCATCCATCTAATTCATTGGATGCTCCAAACCCTTCTCACCAAATTTGCATCTTGGATTCCAATTCCAACCCTATTTCAAACCCTAATTTCACCCAAGATAATTTTGATGAAAGTACCCTTTTGTCTCCTTTCACTTCTTCTATTGTTAAGGAAGTTGAATCGAGTATTTCGGATTCAAAGATTGATCCAAGGAAAGAAGAAAATGCAGTCATGGGTGGTCATGATGATTATGTTCAAACAAGTTTGTCTGTGGGGTTGAATCTGGTGGTTTCACAAAATCAATCAACTGGATCAGATGGTGAAGAGGCAGTGAGTTATAAGAGACACAAGAGCAGTAGTAGTACTGTTTCTTCATTGCCACTCTTCCCCAAACCTTGTTCAAGTACTGATAGATGTCCTTTCAAGCCAGAGGTAGTACTTGGAGTCTCCATTGAGGACATAGACCTTGAGCTCAGGCTTGGAGGTGACCCACCAAAGGTGAAGTAAAGCTAGCGCCTTTCTAACTCCATTGATGACGCACCTGTTTCAAAGTTACATCTAGGCTTCTCTTATCTGTATTTTGAAGCTAATGTGGCACTAGTTGATTTAAGTTTTTTTTTTTACTTTCTTTCCTCTTGGTTGACTTAGAATTAATATTAAGGTGGCCGGAGATTAGTCTGCCATTAGCTAGCTCATCGAATCGGATGTGTCTTAGTGAATCTATTTCCATCGATCGTCAATTAATTTCAACTTATTTATGATATATAACCTTCTTATTTACAAGACTTCTCAGTTAATTTCGTGAATGGTTACTTAGCTCAGAACCAGCTGCCTCCAAATCAAATAATTAGAAGCATCCGACCTCACTGTGATTATCCGAAATCAAACTTCAATTCTAGAGAATTAAACACTATATATATATATATATATATATATATATATATATATATATAGGTGCAGTGCCATGTATTTATTCTATGTTTCTCCATGATGGATATAAAAGGATGCAATTTCTAAATTAATTAATCCTTTAAATTAGATCAACCAATATATTAATTCAATTCATCGTGAACCCTATTTTTATTTTTTGATTAGTCTTGTGTTATGCCATTATTAATGTATCAGATCGAATATAAATTCAAAAGACTGTTCAGATCAAATTATAACACAGTACTGTGTGGTGCAGATGAACTTCTGTTGCTGAGTAATGCATCCTTCTTTTACATTGTTAATACCATAAGGCACCACCAAGCTTTGGCCGTTGAGAGTGATAAGAGCTATAGAGATAGAGAGAGAGAGAGAGAAAGAGAGATGAGTTGTGGGTGAAATCTGACAGTAACTGAGCTTTATTCTAAGAGTAAAGGACACATATCACAACATAGATTGCCCTTTTTACCTGTGTCATTTACCATCACCATTTTTGTTTCAGTTTCAACAGTTTCTCCATATAAATCAAGACCCTTCTGTACTTTTCTTCCCCTAATAATAATATATAATTAATCTCTCTCAACCTCCAAAAAAAAAAGCCACCAACCCTACAAATTTAATTAATTAGTTTATATATAAAAGGAAAAAAATATATCAAATCATTGGCACTATTTACGAGCCTTTTGTCTTTACTTTTGTATGCAACACATTATATATACTAGTTACTATATTCTACAAAATATATATATATATATATATATATATATATATATATATATTCACACTAGTTATTATAATTAATCTCAACGACCAAACTAATTAATTAATTATAAAAAAAAACTTATTTGTAAAACCCTAGGCATGTAGGCACCCGTTGGTACCGAAGGTTCTTGCAGAATACACGGCAATATTAATTTAGAGATAACTCTGAAAATAGCCATTAATCGATGATGTAATATGGGCTTTTGACTTAATGGGATTATAGAGATAACTCTGAAAATAGCCATAAATGGATGGAATTAATGTCACCCCCAACAAATTTTAATTTATTCCACTGTAAGATAGTCATTGAAGATTGGTGCTTCAATTGATGCTTTTGACGTCACCTTATAGGTGGAAGAGTTTAATTATCTACATGGGTTGTAACACAGTGTGTATATATATGTATATATATATATATTAATATATATATATAAGAGAGAGAAGAGGGGGGTTGAGAGAGAGACTGAGAGTGCATGTAGCAGCCTAGCAGGTGTTAAGGTCCAGGGACAGTGACATTGCTTATACTTTGGTTTAATTCTATCAAGTGCCTCGTCTGTGTAATATATATATATATATATATATATATATATATATATATATATATGTTAAGAAGAGAAGCAATGGTTTAATGATGATGATGAGGTTTTTAAGGGTGCAGTACTGTCAGAGTCAGATGTGCACATGGGCATGTAATGTCTGTTTCTGTGTTGCTTTCACAGATTTTAAGAATTTCAGAATGGAATGAGAATACTGAATACCTTCCCACCTTGTGCGGTTCCTTAATTGGCTTGCCTTACGATGTTTATATATATATATAGATATGTACGTTATCAGAGAGAAAGAGAGAGAGAGGGACATGGAGGTCAAATTGGTGATCTCATGGTTGCAGAGGATTTATATAAGTCGTCCATTATTGAAGCTAATTTAGATGTTTTAATCCCATGCATGTTTAATTCACAAGATTAATTAATTAATTATACTGTAAGAGGGACATCAACTAATTTCAACCACTGACAATAATTCACAAGATTAATTAATTAACTATACACACATGATAATTCAAAGAAAACGTTGTGACGTTTTTGTTTCCCCATGCAAGCAAACCTTCGTTTTCGTTGAATTTAAGGGCTCTAATGCTTCATTTTCATTGATCACTTATGTAAGATGTGGCTTGAATTCTGTTTCGGTTTGAGTTGCTTGTGATCAATTTTTAATTTGAATAATTCGGTTTGTCTTATAGGTTTTGGATCAGAATTTTAGTCTCTATTGTAATTCAATATATATATAAGGGTGTTCGATTTTTTTTTTTTTTATGGTTCATAAACATGGCCAAAATTTTTTTTTTTTATATTTAAAAGGTAACACAACTAAAAATTAAAATAGAGAAAGATAAAATAAAAATCGGTGTAGTGGGTTAAATGCCTGTGTATTTCGATGCAATAATAAAGATATATTTGGGATGGATAAAGCCCTTATTATGAATGATTGATGAGTGATGACATAGATCGCATAATATTTGAAAATTAATGTCACACACTTTGTGCGTTTATTTTCATTATCACGTACTCCATATGATTTTAAAACTGGCTCATCGCCTTCAAGTGCTCGTGCTCGGGCTATGTGTAACTTAATTTATGACAAGCTATTATATATATATATATATATAGTAAGAAGAAATCAACTACATAGAAAGATTACAAATGTTAAAGGATTAAAGTAAAATGGTTCAAATATTAAGGGCGTTTGGGAGCTTCCTATAGCCTCAAAAAGTCATTCCAAGTGTCTCAAGTTCATTAAAAAATATATATATTTATAACGTTTGGTTAAATATACGTAAATGATTTTCTCAAAAAACAAATTATCAGAAAGTCCATTTCAAAGAAATAAAAAAATGTTGCCTTTTGAAACCTCTATTTAAGAAGCCAACTATTTTTTTTTGGATAAATTTGTTATTTTATTAATTTATTCGTGTATTTTTCACAACTTTCTTTTTATTTTATTTTATTTTTATTTTTGGTAAATTACTTTTCATAACTTGACAAGATTGTTCTATATTTTATTTCCTGGTCCCCAACTCCCCGTTCCACCACTGTCACTTTCTATCACCACCTTCTACCACCACTACCATCGTACCCTTCAATACCATTGCCACCAATCACCACCACTGCCATCACCCTTCAATACCACCAACTACTAGTACCACTGCCATCACCCTTCAATACCACCAACCACCAGTACTACCGCCACCATCACCCTTCATTACCACTGCCACCACCTTTCACCACCACCACCATTGCTATCGCCACCTTCCACTACCGCACCATCACCCTTCACTACCACTGCTACCAACCACCACCACCTTCCACCAACGCCACCATCACCTTTCACTATCACCACCACCAACCACCACCATTGCCACTACCACCTTTCATCACCGCCACCATCACCCTCCATTACCATCGCCATTGCCACCTTCCAGGCTTTCACCACTGCCACCCTCAACCGCAACCTTCCACCATTATCACCACTGTCAACATCGTCACATTCCACCACCACGGACTATCATCGCAGTTGTTTTCTGCCACTACCAGCATTGTCATCGCCATCCACCAATACCGCCTTCACACTTTTTTAATGGAGGGTTACAATAATTTGTTAAGGATATTATTGTCAAGAAAAAAATGATCTAAAAGTTAAAGTAAATTTATTAAATGTGTTGGCCTAACGTCTTTTTCTTATGAATTTCTTTTAACAAAATTTCTTTTACAAAGGCCTTTATCAATAAAGGACTTTTAATATGATGGAGAAGCTCCCCCAATTAATGGGGCCTAAAATAATACATTAAGAATAGTGCTTCTGCTAGTAGTTGTGCTGATCAGAAACTAGTAGTCTAAGGCCTCACATTGCTTGAAAGAAAAGGTTGTTGGCACTTATATATATGAACACTTTTTAATTTTGTAGAAGCGAGGTTGTTGCACGAAATTGTTGGCCAAGCCTTCTCAATTAAGTGACTACATTGGATTTTTTTGATAGCCAAACATAACCTCGTATGTTGTGTTGGGTAGGAAGGAAGGAAAAAGTGTGGAGAGAAAATAGAAAGGAACGAACAAAGTTCGTAGAGATGATAAAAAGAAAAAAATGATAATAGGAAGGATGTCTTTCTTTACAAATTTTCATTCACCAAAAAATGGGCGGAAGAAAGGAGGAAAGACAAGTAGAATATTATAGAAGTTTTAAATTAAATATTATCATAAATTATACAAGTTTTAAATTACAATACTATCCTATATAAATTACAATATTATAAATATTATTAGATATTATGATAAAAATAATTAAAACTCTCTCTTTCATTCTCTTTAACAAACTTAGTAAATTATTAACTTATTCTCTTCTCTTCTATCCAATCGAAAAAAAAATAATAAAACACATAATCTCTTCCCTATAAATGTCTCATCTATCCATTCTTCTCTTTTCTTCTCTACTCTTCCTTCCATCCAATTATTTTCTTTCATACGGAACATAGCATTAGTCTTAGTCTATTAATTTTTTTGTTGGTGTGTGCTTATTTTTTTATCAGGTCTCTTAACCTGCCTTGTTGGATTATTGCCTTATTTGTAAATGATGTAGCTGGCCTTTGTGCCCATATTTGTACTTTTATTATATATATATATATATATATATATATATATATATATATATAAACTTTTTATTTTGGGAAATTGAGCTTTTTTTACTATAAAAAAAAATAAAAAAATAAAATAAAAGAGGAAAATTGAGCATACTACTTAGATTCCTATGTAAGGATTAAAACATTTGAAAATTTCAATCAAATACTGTGATTTCGGTTTTACTTCAATCATTTCATACCTAGATATTGTATATCGCAAATTATACTCTCTGTTTTTCTCTTTTTAATGGTCCCCACATATCTTATTGACCAATTTTTATCTTTATATTTCTTTTCTTCTTCTTTTTTATATTTTTATTTAAATATTACACTTTGCACTCTCTCCCTCTATATATAATATATATCATTCTTTCACACATTCCATTTGTCTCTATTAAAAGAACTTAAAATGTCCAACATCTATCAATCACAAAATATCGGCCCAAATGGAGATGTGGATCTGGATGAAACTTATTTCGAACTTGAGTCCGGTCCAAATCCAGCCAGGTCCAATATATAACTGCACTTTGAAAACAGATGAATTTAAAAAAGAAAATTTATTAAATGGTCCTACTCTATTTACACTCCCACACTGTAATTGTTTTACTCACACTCACACACTATAATTGAATAAGCTGAATAACTGAAAAAGAGGATTTTTTTTTTTTTTAAAAAAAAAAAAAAGAAAAAGAAAAAGAAAAACTGAGCATATACTACTTAGATTGTGCACAGTCACAATCCGAGAAATTATTAAATGGTTCTAGTCCATAAATCAATTTAATTCAGACTCTCCGATTAACAAAATTGTCCTATAAGAGTATATTAATATATTACAAAAAAAAATTCAATAACGGTCTAAATTGAACTGGTCCACCATGTGTCAAATGGTCCAGAATCATCTAATAATTTCTCAATCAATTATTAGATAATTCTAATCCATCCACTTAGGAGGGAATAATTTTGGTAATTTATTTACTAAATTTTATTTATTTTTACAAACTAAAATCCTTTCAAACTAGTTACCTTTAGCTCACAAAGTTGCAAAACAACACCATTTTAACTTCTATTTATGCAATCACTCCCAAGAGAGAGTATCTTGTAGCGCATCTTGTGAATGAAATGTCACCGTTTTGGTACAGAGGTCAATATGTTACCAAGTCTAAAATGAGGAATGTATTGGGAAATTTTTTTTACATGATTTTAAACTACTTGATCCTGATAGAATACAATCGATCATTTAAGTAAAAATACTGAATAAAATTGACATTTATTTGCATGACGTTATGTATTTAATCAAGGCCATGGGATAATTTTTGGGTAAATTATACCTCACATGATTGGAGATTTTGAGATTTGTTACTCTGACCTCTCTTAAAATTATAAAAAGTTAATTATACCCTTATATGTAATATAGTTTTATAATACAAAATATATTATAAAATCTAAAAAAAAAAAAATGTTATTTGTACTTCACTTTTTTACGTTTGCACTACAATCTTATATGAAATGACCATTATATATATTATTACAAATAAATTATTATTAATTTTTAAATGACACGCTGTCCTTTCAAATTTTCTCTCATTATCTTTAATTTTTAATAGTTTAGGTTTCTTTTGGCAAGCTATATATATATATATATATATATATATATATATATATATATATATAAGTGGAATCATATTTTGTTTCGAGGACAAAAAAAAAAATATGTTGAATAAATTATTTTTTGACCAGACCAAAAAATAAAAAATAAAAAATTAACATTACAAAAATTATCTCTTTTTACCAAAAAAAAAAAAAAAAAAAAAAAAATCCCAAAAAAATATTTATTGAAGAAATTATCTCATTTGTCAAGATCAAAACAAAAAGTACGAAAAAAGAGGATTAAAAAATATATATATCTCTATTGAATAAATTATCTCTTTTGATAAGACCCCAAAATATATATCTATATCTATATATATTTATTTATTTATTGAATAAATTATTTCTTTTGACTGGACTAATAAAAAATTACAAAAAAAAAATGTAACGCCTCGAATTTTCTAAATAAAATCCTCAATTTATACAAATCAAAATACAGTATTACACCCAGGATCACAAAAAGAAATACACAAAATCTCTTTATTGATACAAAATCAATTTCCTCAAAAAAAAAAAATAAAAAAAAATAAAAAAATCTAAATAAAATAAAATAATTCTTCAACACCAACTTTTCCACCTAAGCCCGAAACTAACAATTCAAGCTCATCCTTGATACCTAAAATTGGAAGGGGGCAAAACAGGGGAAGTCCCTGTAGGAAAAACCATAACAAGGATTTCAAGAAGTTTCATGAAAAATTAGCTTCACAAAAATATACATATGCTTTTAACAAAATACATATATGTAATTTTAGCAAAATAACAATCAATAAAATATTTAAAACAAAATTATTCAGGCCATTCAAGGTACGAAGAACTCTACACTGCAAAAGAATTAATCACAAAATATTTGTGATCCAGCCTTAAGTCCGTCTTGGCTTTCTCAGCCCTCTGTGCACTTCTCTAAATTCCCAATTCTCTATATTTTTCACTTCTGCTCTCTTTCTTTCAATACCCATCAATGCACAACACTAGTTATATAATGCTTCCATCGACAATCAAATATTAAAGGACAACTAAAAGAAATACAAGTGGGCCCGCCACCACCGTCCTTTACCTTATCATCACATTTCTTATACACACAAATACAATGCATCTGCAAAATATCACCATGTGCAGAAATCAAAGGTCGAAGCTTTTAAATTTCTCACGGATAAAGTGGCGGCTAAAACAGCAACATTGAAAGGGGAATTGATGTTGAAAGCAGGACGAGAAGTTCTCATTAGAAATGTATTATCTTCCTTGCCTACCTACTCACTTTAATGTTTTAAAATCCCCTTTTCAACTAGTTCTGATATTTCTAGCATGCTTAATAACTTTATGTGGAGTGAAAAAGGCAGGTCATCTAAAATGAAGTGGGTCAGCTGGGCAACTATGTGTGAACCCAAGCGCGTTAGTGGTTTGGGCTTCAAAGATATTGATGCTTTTAATTTAGCCTTGTTGGCCAAATTTGCTTGCCGTTTAGAACAAGAAGAAAACTCTATGTTTTATCGCGTTTTCAAAGCTAAATATTTTGACTCTTGCAGCTTCCTCCAGTCTCATTGCAGTCAGCGATCCTCATAGGTATGGAAGAGCCTCACAACAGCTAAGCCTACTTTCGAATATAGTTTGAGATGGCGAATTTCAATGGGTGAAAAGGTGCATCTCTGGTCTAATAAATGGCTTCCCGATTCTTCTACTCTAGCTGCTACTGCTACTGGAGCTGAATCTCTATGTCAATGGGTGGCGGATTTGGTTGACCAAAATTCTCACCCTTGGAACGAACCTCTAATTTGAAGTCTTTTTTATGCAACTATTTCCAGACAGATCCTTCAAATCCCTTTGCAATGTTTTGGCGGGGAGGATTGCAAGCTTTGGGCTCCTAATGTAGATGGTAAATTTTTTGTTAAGTCAGCCTACAAAATTGCTTTACACCTCCATAATCCATCTCCACATTTTATTGATACTGCAAGCACAAGTTCTTCACCTGCAAAAGGTTTTTTTGGCACTTTAAATGGAAGATCCCAATACCTAGAAAGCTTCAACTTTTTCTATGGCAATGCTTACATGAACGCCTCCCAGTATTACATAATCTGAAAAGAAGACGTATCATTCATGTGGCAGTATGTAGTCTTTCTGGCGAATCAGATGAATCTATTTGCCATCTTTTTTTTGACTCCCCAAAGGTTCGCTTTATTTGGCGCTTTAGCCATTTGGGTTTCTAGATGGAAGGAGTTATTTTCAATGTGGCGGAATAGTGAGGAAATATTTTCACTCTTCAGCTTGGCCTCCTTTTTACTTTGGCAACTTTGGAAGGGTAGGAATAATTGGATGTTTAATAAGATTGCTTGGGATCCCACCTTCACTATGGAAAAAACAGTGGCCAACAGTGGCCATCTCTTGGGAACAAATAGGTTGCCCCTTCCAATGGTAGAGTTAAACTTAATACTGATGTAGCTTTCGACGCCACTTCTGGTAGGTGTGGGGGAGGCTTGGTGCTTAGAAATGCAAAATGAGAGGCTATCAAGGTGGCATCCGTGTTTTTTGATACGGTTTTCAGTGCAGAGGCTGAGGAAGCTTTGGTCTTAAGAGAAGGTCTGCAGTTACTTTGTCAGTGGGGTTACGCTTATGTTGACGTTGAAGTGGATTGTCAATCCGTGACAAATTTGGGGCCATCTAACTCTCTTTGTATGGCTATTACTCAAGATATTGAGTCTCTGTTACTTAATAATTTGGGATTTAAGCTCTTGTGGTGTCCTAGATTATGTAACAAAGTTGCTCATCAAGTGGGTAAGTAAACTTTTCATCAAGGGGAGGGAGACCCGCATTGACAAGTTTGGCCGTCATGGCTTCTTTTTGTACTTAATGAGGATTTTTCCTCTTATGCTTGAGGTTTACTATTTGAAGGAAAAAAAAAAAAAAAGAGTCAAAAGAAAAAATGGCCAAAAGTCTTTGGTGGGACCCGTCACCATAATCACCATTACAATTTCTATCTTCACTCTTTTCTCAATCCTTCTGCCAGCCGCCCTCAGTTCGGTGCAATGGAAAAGGGAGAAAAGGGAAGGGAAGATGATGGAGGGGGATTAAAAATTTGTGTTTGGCAAAAATTATTGGAAGGAAAGGAAAATGTTTGGAGGGTTAACACAAGGCTTCAACAGTAAATTTCTTAACCTCCCAAAAATGAGAGAAAATGAAAGGAGAGGCTTGGTGTGTGATTTTTGATGCCAAATTTGCCTTTGATTACATGTGAATTTAGTTTGTAAAACAAGAATTACAGACCTTGATTTAACAGTTGCAGAGAGAGAGGGGGGCAAGCTTGAGAGTTGAGAGAAAGGGGGCCAACGGTTGAAGCTTGCGAACGGCGAACCCGAATTGGAACAGCGGGCGATGGAAACTGAGATCGATATGGGTGTTGATTTTTTGAACAATCTGAAATTGGGTTTTGATTTTTTGAACAATCTGAAATGATGCCGATATGGGTTTTGAACTTTTGATTCTTGCGGACAAATATATAAACTAGAATATATAGGTTTTGAACTTTTGATTCTTGTAGTAGTTAACAGTTGCAGAGAAAGGGTAAGTTCAGAGTTGAGAACGAGAATAGAGATGGAGGCTGAAATGATTTGCTGCCTTAAATTTTTTTTTCATTTTTTCGTGGCCGATCCATGGGTAGGAGACAAATATATATATATATATATATATATATATATATATATATATAAGGGCATAATAGTAAATTTATTAAAATAATTCTCTTTCATATCCTTCTCTTTCTTTCCCCAAACATGATTATTATCCTTCCATTTCTTTTCCATTCAATAATCAACCAAACACGATAGGAGAATAAAATTATCCTTCCCTTCCCTTTCCCTCTCCCTCATAACTAATATTATCCTCCCTCTTCAAACCCACTGTACCAAACATTGCCTTATGCTTATTTCCTTTATCTCACCAAATATATATATACACAACAAATCAAAACCCATTTCTCTTGGTGGGACCAGTAGAAAAATCATCACAATATTAATCCTCTTCCTCAAATTTTCGGCCGCCACCTGCTACTTCTACTTCAACTTCAATAGATTACACACACACACACACACACACACACATATATATGTAACACAAAAAATATAAACTGTAACTCTCTAATTAAATAATCAATAACTGAATCTCCAATTAGATAAATATCCAATTTAAAATTTAAATATCCAATCTTAATAACCAAAAATCATGAAATGAAATGAAATTATAAATTAAATCTTAAAATTTTGAATTGTCACAAAAAAGTTATCTCTTTTGACAGGAGAAAAAAGAGAGTTAACTTTGTTGAATAAATTATTTAATTTAATTGCACCAAAAAAAAAGTCACTATTAAATAAATTATCTGTTTTAAGTGCCAAAAATAAAATAATCAATATGAAATAAATTATCTTCTTTGAGAGGACCTCCGAAAAGAAAAGAAAGTATAGAATGGAAAAAATAATAATAATAAAGGAATTAAAGAAGGTAAAAAAAAAAAATTAAGTTGTATAAAGAGTAGTTATGGCATAATAAAATAAGGCATAGTGCATTAATAAATTTAAGGACCTTCTTATCATTTCTTATATATATATATATATATATATATATATATATATAATATAATATAATATAATATAATATAAATTGTATAAGGAGTAGTTATGATAAGTTTGGCAATCATGGCTTCTTTCTGTACTCAATGAAGATTTTTCCTCTTGTGCTTGAAAAAAAAAATAAAATAAAATAAAATAAAATGGCCAAATTTCTTTGGTGGGACCCGCCACCTTAATCACCATTACAATTTCTATCTTCACTCTTTTCTCATTCCTTCTGCCAGCCTCCTTATGTCTCTTTCCTTTATCTCACCAAATATATTACAGAGAAAAGTGCAAAAAACCCCTATACTATTGACAAATTTGCAATTAACCCCCTAAACTATCAAAATTGCACAAAACCTCCTGAACTATACAAATTTATTGCTGATCACTCCATCCAGCTACCGGTTGTCCAGAAATGAGCACGCGAGAATCACGCGACAAACAAACTAAAATTTTTGGACAATAACGCCCTTTAATATATGAAAATACCAAATTGCCCACTGCCAAATACCCTAATTACGCTACCATCAGCTTGGGCCAAACACGCCCTTACAAGAAATTTTAGCGCCAAACACGCACTTACACATAACGCCGCTCTCTTGTTCATTACTCCATCCCAGCGGTGAACACCTCCATCGTCCGTTTATAGCCACCATCGCCGCCACCACAGATTCTTTTTCCCCCAAAACAAAAATATGTTTTGGTTGAAAAGATATAGAATTGGAGGGGGAATTGATTGAAAGAATTAACACAACGGCTGCGAGCTTGGCTTCGGATGATGGCGGTTGGCGGTGGAGAGGACGGCGACGCCGATGATGGAGATTCCATAACCCTAAAGACTTCTAATTCGGAAAGTTCCGACTCAAATTGCAACTCAAAGCAATTGGCCGGTTTGGCGGCGAGTTTCAGAGTCTTCTTCGAGTCTATGTTGAGAATGGAACTTGAATGATCAAGGCCAGAGAGGCTTTGCGTTATGAAACAGAGAAGCGACGAGTCGAATCGGAAGCTGAAATGACTTGGATGTTGTTGCAGACTCAGTTATAAATTTCGTCATTTCATTTGGGGGTGATTGTTGGCGGCAGTGGAGGCTGATGGGTTGAAATTGGTTGTGGGGGTGGTTGTGGATGGTGGGGGTGGTTGTGGGTGTGATGGGGTGGACAGTATTGGTGGTGACGGTGGTGGCGGCTGGTTTAATGGCAGAGATCCGAGTTGGACTCGGTGGTGGCCGGGCTTTAAACCAACCGTTTCCACCAACACCACCTCCCTAACCCATACAACACTATCACAGCTCCGCCAACGCCGTCGTCCACCTCAACCCCGTCGCCTCAACAC